ACACACCCACACACCCATACACCCACACACTCATACACACCTACCCATATACACACCCACACGCACACCCATACACACACCCATACATACGTACATACATACGTACATACATACGTACATACATACGTACATACATACGTACATACATACACTCACCGACGTAGCTCGGTTCCACTCCCCCAGCTCCAGTGCCCGCATGTCAGGTCGAAAGCGTGCGTCCGTGGGGGGCAGGTGCGGGACTACTGGATCCGCCGGGTCGTTCAAACCCAGAGCGAATCTGGGCGGGAGGGGGGAAAGGGGGGGATGGTGGCGTACCATTGGGGGGGGGAAAAGATGGGTTAGGCTTAGGGTCAGTAAGGGTTCAACATCCCCCTCTACAGAGGCAATGCAAAACACACACATACACACATACACATACAATGGGTCATATCGCCCCTTCCCTTTCCCCTTTCCCCTAGGGGGGGAAAGAAGTGCTAAAAAAATCGGCGGTTTTGTTCGTTGGAGCAGCTGGGCAGCAGCCCCTCTGGCCAGCGTCGTCAGGCCCGGCAAGATATTCGTAATAACTACACACACATACACAGACATACACACATACAGATACACCTCGCGGTTCAGTTAAATTACAGGCACACGCGCACATACATATGTACATACATTCCACACCTTGTCATGCAGTACTGCTCCGTGGGGTTGGGTAGCTCCGGCTCCTTACTCCATATGAGCTGAGGCTCAGTACTGGGGGAGCTGATGGGGCTCATCGGGCTGATGGTGGTGGCGGTGGTGGCGGTGGTGGTGGTGGCGGTGGTGGCGGTGGTGGTGGTGGGCCCCTCCCCCCCCAAGCCCCGGGCAGCCGCAGCCTCCGCAGTTAACGCCGCGAAGAGCGACCCCATCGAGGAGCCGCTGATGCGCCAAACCTAACAAAGTACGACAGAAGCAGGAAACAGCAGCAACAAAACCAAAAAAAAGGGGAGGGGAAGGAGAGAATTTCGTCGAATGGGGACAAGGGGGACGAGAACTGGAGGGCGCTGTCGATAGTTGCCAATAAGCCGTTAAGACAGTTGGCAGTTAGCGATCGTGGAGGCGAAGCGAGCAGAATCTTATGGGACGGAGATACATACATACACACACATATATACACACAACCGTGACAAAAACAACCGATCCGACCCGAAGCCCGACTCGATGCGCGACGTGATGCTGCCGGCCACTTCCACTTCCACTCGCACCTTCCGTGCCTCGGCCTCACGCTCCCCCTTTTTCTCCCGGCATCCTTCAAATGCTTCCCCCCCCAGCCCCGTTGGCGGCCAGTTTCGCAGCTAGTTTCCCGCCTTCCCTCCCCTTCCGGGGCCCAACCTTCAGTACCCAAGTAATGTTTCTAACGTCACCACCCTCTCCTACCTGCCCTCCTTTCCCTCTTCACCCCTCACCGCCGTCCTCCCTCGCCCCATGTCCTCTACCTCCTCCTCCCCCCCTCCTCCCCCGAGCCCTACCTCCTCCTACCCCTACCTCCCCTGAGCCCTACCTCCTCCTACCCCCCACCTCCCCCGAGCCCTACCTCCTCCTACCCCCCACCTCCCCCGAGCCCTACCTCCCGGCCCTCCGCGTCACACACCACCCCCTCGCACTTCCCGCGCTCCCGGAGGTAGGGGTAGCCCCGACAGGGCTTGATGATCAGCCGGGCGGTGTCGCCTGACAGAGGGGGTGGAGGGCGGGGCCGGGTGGGGGTGTGAGAGGGAGACTGTGTGTGTGTGCGGGTGCGGGTGCGGGTGTGTTGGGGTTTGGGGGCTGAATGGATGGGAAGCTGGGTCATGAGGACGCGAAAGAGCGCTGGCGGTGTGATGGTGGTGGTTGTGGTGATGGTGGTGGTGGTTGTGGTGATGGTGGTGGTGGTGATAGTGGTGGTGGTGGTTGTGGTGATGGTGGTTGTGGTGATGGTGGTGGTGGTT